TACTGTAGTTTAATTTCCTAGAATTCCCACCAAAGCATGCAAACAGATGTCGGCCTGGAGGGAGAATAAGAAAAAACTGTCAGCCACAGCGTAGCCTTGAAATGACACCAATATTTGTGCTGTGAAGATGGCTCCAGCCCAGCCATGTGCCATATGAACTGAACATTTATAAAGTCATAAATTTAACCTACCCATCATCTTTCTGGCAGCTTCAGTTCTCTCCTCTTTTTGCTATAAATGTGACTAAATAGGCAGTTTTCTGGTGACTGCCAAACTTCAGTAGGAAAGGATAACATTGAGAGAAGGCATGAAGATATCCAAAATGTGTTACCTCTATCCATTTTGAAATAAAATATACAAATAAAATAATAGAATGTCTATATACTGTATGTATTCATTATTTGTTAATGAATGCACGATAATGCAATGGTATTGATTTACTAACAAATTACTAAATTACTATTACAATACTACTACGGCTATTATTAAGCTGCATTGCCATTCTGAGTTTACCTTCTATTTAGGTGATTAGATTACATACTGTACATTGGTGTTGCAGTTCTATTATTTTGCTTTCCATATTCTTACTTCCTAGTCCACTATGTCATGTATGGATGAATTTCCCTTTGGTAGAATTAGGGTAACAGAGGTCTGATTAGGTTGAAGAAGCAAACGGCAGGATAAAGAAGCTAGATAAAGGAAAATAGAACATTGAAGGTAATGTAATAGATGGGAAGGACAGTGAAAACAGGAGATAAATGGACTAGGGAAAGGGATAAGGGATGGATCCTGATGAGATATGCGATGTGTAAGAGTGACAATGTGGGTGAAGTTTGAGAGACATATGAGTCATTTTTAGGCTACGTTCACACTAGCTTTGTCTGCAGGCATCAGACAGTCCTTTGGGAAGCGTTTTTAATGCTTCTCAAACGCCTAAGAAAATTATGCACATGGCAGCACACAGTTCTGTTCACACTGAAGCATTAGCATTGCGGCAAAACTGACACCTCGTGTTGAATCAGGAGGAGTTGAAGCCTTCCGTTCAAGTCTACGGTGCAGCTCCTCAAACACCTGGGATGCATTTGCGGAGCGCTTGCGAGGCGGTTTGCGTAGCATTAATACCATTTAACTTCATTCTAGGCGTTTGTGGTGTGGTTTTAACGCTTGGCAAACGCCTATCAAATGCCTCAAAACTGCGTTTAGGGCATTTGGGGAGTGTTTGAGGAGCGTTAAAAATGCTTCTCAAACGCCTGTCTACCGCCTGTCAAATGCTATGGGGCATTTGGCAGGAGTTAGAAATTAAGTCAAGTGTGAACGAGCCCTTATTGATTAATTATTAAAGTGTATGTTACCCCATCATTTCATATTCCTGTGCCTGCTGTACCATTTGTACCAATTGCTGTATTTCTTTGTTTGTGTGAAATACCTGGTGTTTCGGACAGCCCCTTTGCTTTCCTATTTAAGACTGACCATGGTAGGCATAAGAGCACATCCATCCCAGTGTGGTTAAATATCTTTTTTGCCTTCTACTTGGAGGCACGGCCTGCCTGTACTCCAATGGTCAGACCTGCTCTGGCACACACCCCCCGAACTGTGCAAGCTCTTCACCTCCAACTCCTACTGACCAAAGGCACTATGTAACCATTTTACTCCAACTGACCACCAGGCCTTGCACGTTGTCCACTCCAACTGACGGTGACTAACGGTGGGGCATTTTCCACTTCCATTGGCTACAGTACATCCTTTCTTTTAGAATGTTTTGAGAGCCCCTGATCTTCATGATGATCACGTGACATGAATTTCAATGAATACAACAAATGCAGTGTGTGAAGTCAGTCCTATTGATGTAATCTAATTAAAGTATCTATCTGCTTAAAATGTTCAATATTTACACCTTGTACTTTATTTGCTCATCATCTGCACATTTCTCTGAGTTTTGATGAGTAAAGAATTTTAACAAAATGATGTGAAATGCCCTTTAACAGTAACACATACTGTACATGGTTAGTTTAGACACTTTGGTGATCATTATCACTGGGATAATAAGTGATGGGAAACCTAGAATTCTAAGGTTATCCCAGTGGATGGAAAATCTTTGAGGAGCAACTCTTGTTCTGCTAACAACGGTCAAAGGTGGGATTTTCCCCGATGCCGGGAAAATTTCCCCAATAATTCCTGATATATCTCAGCAACATCTCCAAGATACGCCCATTCTTAACCTCGGAAACTACTGAGCAACTTATTGACTCCCTTGTTATTTCACGTCTTGACTATTGTAACTCCCTCCTCAATGGCCTACCTCATTGCAGGCTATCCCCTCTTCAGTCTATCATGAATTCTGCTGCCAGACTCATCCACCTTTTCTAACTGTTCTATATCTGCCACCCCTCTCTGCCAATCCCTCCACTGGCTTCCCATTGCCCGACGAATAAAATTCAAAACATTAACAATAACATATAAAGCCATTTATAACTCTGCCCAAATTACATCACTAATCTTGTCTCCAATATCACCCAAACCATACTCTACGCTCCTCGCATGACCTCCTGCTCTCTAGCTCCCTTGTCTCCTCCTCCCATGCTCATCTCTGGGACTTCTCCAAAGCCTCCCCCATCCTCTGGAACTCTCTACCCCAATCTATCAGATTACTGCCTACTCTGCCCACTTTTAGGTGATCTCTGAAAACCTATCTCTTCAGGGAAGCCTATCCTGCCTTCAGCTAATAATGGAAACTTCTATTTACCCTACCAGTCCATCCCCCACAGTTATTACCTTTTGTACCACCAGCCTCTCCATCTTAGATTGTAAGCTCCGAGGAGCAGGGTCCTCCTAACCAGGGGCGGACTGGCCATTCGGATGCTCGGGCGCTGCCTGAGGGTCCAGGGTCAGAAGGGGGCCCCATGAGATACCCCTGGTACCTTTCATAGGCTTTTTTGGGTGTGGTTTGAGTGTGGACAAGGACACAGGGGCTCCATGATCCCCTATTGCCCAGGGGCCCCATGAGTTGTCAGTCCACCCCTGCTCCTACTCTCTTGTATTGAACTGCATTGTTGCTGTATTGTCTCCCGTTATATTGTAAAGCGCTGAGCAAACTGTTGGCACTATATAAATCCTGTATAATAATAATAATCTCTGCAGACAGGAAGTATAAGGATAGATCACCGAAAGGGACTCAAACAGGAATGAAAAACTGACACATTTCTCACCCTTCCCCACACAAAACAAAGAAAAATATCTGGCTAGAGTTCTACTTCTAATGATGCACTTCATTTTCCACAGTAAAAGTCTCAGGTAGAGTTAATGCAACAGACAACGAAAGCCATGTCTGGAAGCTGGAGTTCAGCTAATGAAATGCCTGGAACGTACCTTTATTGTTATATAAATATTATGCAGTGTCATCCATCAGGGACTGGAGCGTTAAACAGCTTCAGAATAATGGCCATGCTGAAGTGCCATTCAGAAATGTGATCCGCATAGCTATTCAGTGATGTGACCAGTGAGAAGAACATGGCTTTTATGGAGCCAGCATAAAGACATGCCTTTAACTCCTTTATAGATTTTAAAAGCTGATGTTACAGTCTTCCCCAGAGGCTCTTGCTTTTTTTTTTGGAGTACTCACCTGAAAGAAAAATGTTTTGTTTTCATGTGTCTGAAAAGTGAGGTCCCAGACTTTGTCTAGACTGCCAACAAATAAATCAGAAAGTATTTGATCTCCACAAATGCATGTCTAATTAATTGGTACAAATGAGACCATTTTTTCATGTCTTCATATGCAGGTACAGTTGGTTTAAAGAAAATGTAGGGAAGGTAGGGCACGGATTATCTCTTAGATTGTAAGCTCCAAGGAGCAGGGCCCTACTAACTCTCTTGTATTGTTGCTGTATTGTCTCCTGTTATATTGTAAAGTGCTGAGCAAACTGTTGGCGCTATATAAATCCTGTATAATAATAATAATAATTGGTTTTAAATCTCAATGCTGTGACATCTGACATCGGCTTCCCGTAATATTCTGTACAAGAGCACTTCGACTAGAGGAGAAAGGGGCAGTATTAGGAGTTAGATGGGTTCTTCTGCAGTGCTGACAGTGAATATGATGACTTAAAAGAACAGAGTAAGCAGAGGGATGAGCTCATCAGTCTCCTGCTGCATTTTCATTGTCCAATCAACAGACTGGAGATGTGATTTGAAAACAATGTGCTTCTGCTGCTGCATTGAATGTTGAGGATAGAGCTATGCTGGAGTACAAAGATGTCTGCAAAGAATTATAAAACATTCTATACATGTATTTAAAGAGGACCTTGCAGTATAAGCAAGACCCAAACTGTCAGCCCCCACCTCCCCCATTTCCAAATCACCTATTAGTAAAGGTATAATGTACCTGTACCTTCTGTCTTTCTCCCGCAGCATCTAGGCAAGGGTGAGGACAATATCCTTCCAACTTGATCCTAGGCAATATAGAGCAGTTGAAATCTAGCAGGAAGACACTTTTGCAATGGACTGAAAGTACGTATCTTCTCATGAGATTTGGGCTGCCCTGCATTCCCTAGGAATCTTCCTAGTAGGATGCTGACATCACGCCCAGCAATGCAGAAGATAGGGTAGGGTAAGTATAACAATTCATTTTTTTACATGTACATTTTACACATGCTAACAGTAGTTGATTGGATCTGATCAGTTTGAGCGGATCTTCCATTATACTGCAAGGCCTTTTTAAACTCTATCTTCAACAGTTTGCTTGAAGTTCAGTTGTAAGAAATAGGAAAGGTGAAGAGGATTTTTTCAGATATAGGTGACAATTAGGACTAAGACCCTTTCAGTTGTATGTCTTCTGTTACACTGCACTACACAACATTATTCTCTACAGTGCCCGTTCTCATCAATGCAACTTGATACAGTGCAATTTTTGAAAAGGTCTTTGTGGGTGGCATACTGTGTTTTTGGCCCCGAAGAATTCACTGGGAGTGCATGAAAAACACATATTGGTGGTGCATTTTTGGCAGGACCCTGCATTCACTGTATCTGGTCTGCCACAGTACACAGAACATGGAAATGCAATTATTTTAGTAAATATAAACTGTTAAATACCTTTTCTCATCAGCAGTTAGAGCAGTCTTGTGACTTCTATCAGTGTCCAGCAGAGCACTGGTTACAGCTTTTAGGAGGAGTTTTCATTCTCCCCTGATTGTTCTATGAGGCTGCATACTCCTGTCCTTCTGTCTGGACAGTGCTGATTAGCCCTGTGTTGATCACATGCACTATCCCAAGTAAAAAAAACTCTCTACCAATACACCCCAAACTGAGCATGTGCAGCTTGCCCCCAATGCTCTGTACTATCAGATGGATTAGGGACTGTGGAAGAAAGGGAGGATCAGAGAAGTCAGGATCAAACAGTCTTTTTAACACATGCAGAGGATTAACCCCTTAGACTCCACAGTGAGTATAACAAGCATGCTTTACTGCATACACACTGATTTTACTGTTGTGGGTTTAGTGACACTTTAAAAATCTTCTCCTCCAACAAAAAAAAATAAATGGAAGAAAAAGCATCAAAAACATCAAACCTGCTACAAAATAACAATGAAGAACGCATGATTGTTCAACATCACTAGTGTGAACCTAGGCTAAGTGTTTTTGGATTCGGTCATATGGTAAAATGTTGGGGTCAGATTAGGAATTAGGGATATCTCAAAGGTTATTACTTTTTAACGCACACAAAGCACTAAAGTAGCTTTACAGCATTATTGAAAGAATAAAGGACAGTGTCTAAGGCAGGCCATTGATTATGCAATTTTTTTTTTCATTCCACCATCAGTGTTGATGGGGGAATCCCTCCCACAGCAGGGTTGTGTTTTGCCGGCAAGGAGCCCTCCCTGCCGGCAAAACACACTGATTAATAGCCGGCTATAGTAACGAATCATTTGGGAAAAACCCAACAGGCTTGTTTAATCGGCTAGGGTGCCCATACATGGATCGAAATTAGGCCAGTCCCTGCTAAACCGACACATTTCGATCCACATATAGCCAGCTTAACTTCTCCATCCACCTTCTTCAGGAGAGCAAAAAACAATTAAATTGTCAATTGTTAGTCGATTGTACAGCTCTATTGTTTATTAAGATTGTTGAGTTCATGTAAAAATGTATGGTGGAGCTGTTTGTGTACAGCATTTGTAACTTAATTGCAAAATCCTTTGTTCTTTTCAGCGATTACACTAATGATGGCACATTTAACACCATCATTTAATCAGTAATCACTAGGGATGTCAGCGTTTGACAATGAAATATCAGATTCACAACTACATAGCTGTTATGAAGAAAACGTTAATTGCATGCTATGTGAAAAATTATCAGTTAATCACCAACCATGAGGGCTTATTCACACTATATGTGGTGACCTGCAGTGTTCTGCAGCTGATCAGTGCAGGTCACCACTAAGGCTCTTAGTAAACAGTTGATTTCTGTGTGCCCTGTTCACACTGCAAGGATGCGTTGAGTTGGGTTGCACTGCTGCATTTTCCGTCAACACACCAGAGTTCACCTAAAATCACTGCACTGATTGGTGGTACATTCAAATGGCTGAAATGTCATGTTGACAATAAAGTTTAAAAAGTATATATTGCCTTCCATTTTATGTTAAGGAGCATCGGACGCCAATCCACACACTAAAACAAATTGTTTTAGCATACAAATTGGTGTGAATGAGCTCTACATTTTCCAGATAACATGGCAAGGCACACTCAGACTGCTTCAAGCTATGGTGGCCCTGTTTTTAGGAGGACCAGTCACAACAGGGCTTATACAAGTCACGCTTATATTGGTATTATTGTGCAAGTTTACTTTAAAGGAGATTTACTGCCTATCATTTATTATTATAAAATGTCCCCCCCTCCTCCTGCTACCTATCCTGACAATCTTACTGTGGGGTATTGAGCAATAAGTTTTCACATCTTTCAGTCTAATGATAGACGGCCCACAGGTAGTGTACACTACAGTGTTACATTCACCTCCTGAAAGGGGTTCAAAATATTCATTACTCTATCTTAATGAAAAAAAAGTTTTGGATTTAGATATACTTTAAAGCTGGCATTTAGTTAAAAAAATACATTTTTCTCTACAGCTTTAGTTATATTTTTAACCTGTACTAAAGGATGTTCCACAAGCTACAGGCTGATGGATTCTGTAGAGATCTTCACTGCAAGGCTTTCCCTGTCCTCTTCCTTCTAAATGAAAATCTGACAGAGACACGTCCTCTCCTGCCCTCTCCTCATTGAGAAAAGTACTCTCATTGCTTTCACTGTCTTATCTGTGAATGAGGGAGAGAACCTGGTGAATGATCAGACTCTGCAGCATTCACAGATCATGTTACAGGCAGGGAAATCAGTGAAAGTACTTTTCTCAGTGAAGGAGAGGGCTGGAGGGGTGTGCCCCTGTCAGATCATCTTTAGTCCAGCTGAGCCTGGAGACCAAAAACTAATCTAAGCTGTGTAAACCCTCACAGTGCCAGAGGTAGGAATAGGACAGGGCAGCCCTGCAATGATCATTTCTACAGAATCCAACAGCCTATACATTGTGGGACACGCTTTTATTAGAGGTAAGTAATACAAGCAAACCTTTAGAGAATAACATGTTTTTATAGTAAATTCAGCTTTAATTCAATCATGTCACAATTAGTGGAGGGGGTGTGCCCCTGTCAGATCATCTTTAGTCAAGCTGAGCCTGGAGACCAAAAGCTAAGCTAAGCTGTGTAAACCCTCACAGTGCCAGACGTAGGAAGAGGACAGGGCAGCCCTGCAGTGATAATTTCTACAAAATTCAAAGACCTATACATTGTGGGACATTCTTTTATTAGAGGTACTGTAAGTAATACAAGTAAACCTTTAGAGAACAAAATGTTTTTATATACACTTCAGCTTTAATTCAATCATGTCACAATTAGTGACGTGGTAAAGTATGCAGCAAGTAAAGTCAGTATTACCCACCTCCCTAATTCTACGCGATCAGTTGATCGAAAAGTATTAAAGGCAGAGGATTAGCATAAGAACTAGGCAGCTAGAATTTTCTAAATGAGATCAGCACCCATATTGTTCCTGTACAGAGAATCTTACATTGTGATCACTTTAAAATACTTACAGTATTAGTAGCTTATTGCAGCTTACTATAAGTACAGTGTAGAGTTGCGTGTGCCACATTCTGCTCCATGTATTCCCTGTGTAAATTTTATTTTGCATCTACCATAGTTTTTATTTATTTATTTATTTATTACAGGTATTTATATAGCGCCGTCAATTTACACAGCACTTTACATATATATTGAACATTCACATCAATCCCTAAGCCTCAAGGGGTTTACAATCTAAAGTCCCTAACTCACATACTAGGGACAGTTTAGTCAGGAGCCAATTACCTTACCAGCATGTCTTTGGAGTGTGGGAGGAAGCTGGAGTATCCCTGTAGGAAACCCACGCAGGCACAGGGAGAACATGCAAACCATAGTTCAGTATTTACTGATAAGAGAGACACACATAGAGATATGTGGCTGCGGACTGGTAAAAAAAGACACTACGTCATCCGTATATGAAGAACTCCTATGCCAGTACTGGAAGGTCTTATTAGTTCAGCATCCTCAGTGCCACAACACATGCAGTGAGAGAGTTGGGCTATTAACACAACCAATATTAGAATATAAACTTAAAGTGGTTTTAAAGTCAAAACAGCATAACGGAGCTGTGTGTGTCTGTGGACGCACACAGCCTGACTCAGGAGCCCATGAGCACAGTTGCATCCTAACCACCTGGCTTGCTAAGCAGGCACCCATAAGAGGGAAGAGCAGATAGCACTGGTGGGGGACTTCCAGAAGAGAAAGTAAGGGACCTTTCTGATAAATATCCTTGCACAGAGCAGGTTTGTGCTCCGCTATTCCAGCTGAGTCTCACCCCATCGACAAGACAAAATGCTATGTTGTGGTGGTTTGCGGGCTGCATGCAATACTTTTTATCAGCGTAGTGCGAGGCAGTCCACTGCCTCGCACTGCCTGGCCAGCAAATGACCTTTATGAGATGTCTGTGTGGCATCTCAATAAAGTTAATTGAATAAAAAAAGAAACAGTGTGATGCGACAAGCACTGATCTCGGCCTCAGCACACTGCACACCAGCCACTGCATGTTATTTCAAAAATATTGTATCCTTTAGTATCACTGAAATAATATGTTATATAATTAGAATTTTAATTTCATATTGTTATATAGGATATACTATGTAAACATAGGTGTGTTCTTTAAAAGTTTTATTATCAAATGATGAATCTGAATAATTAATTGTTATTATTATTATAGAGGATTTATATAGCGCCAACAGTTTGCTCAGCGCTTTACAATATAAAGGGAGACAATACAGCAACAATACAGTTCAATTCAAGAGGGATAGGTGGGCTCTGCTCCTTGGAGCTTACAATCTAGGAGGGAGGGGTTAGTGGTACAAAAGGTAATAACTTTGGGGGATGGACTGGTAGGAAGAGTAGAAGATTCCATTATTAGCTGAGGGCAGGATAGGCTTCCCTGAAGAGATAGGTTTTCAGAGATCGCCTAAAAGTGAGCAGAGTAGGCAATAGTCTGATAAATTGGGGTAGAGAGTTCCAGAGGATGGGGGAAGCTCTGGAGAAGTCCTGGAGACGAGCATGGGAGGAGGAGACAAGGAGCAGGAGGTCTTGTGAGGAGCAGAGAGTTCAGTTTGGGTGATATTTGGAGACTAGATTGCTGATGTAATTTGGGGCAGAGTTATAAATGGCTTTATATGTTATTGTTAATGTTTTGAATTTTATCCGTTGGTCAACGGGAAGCCAGTGGAGGGATTGGCAGAGAGGGGTGGCTGAAATGGAATGGCTAATAAGGTGGATGAGTCTGGCAGCAGCATTCATGATAGACTGAAGAGAGGATAGCCTACGATGAGGTAAACCAATGAGGAGGGAGTTACAATAGTCAAGGCGAGATAAAACAAGGGAGTGAATAAGTTGCTTAGTAGTTTCCGAGGTTAGGAATGGGCGTATCTTGGAGATGTTGCGGAGGTGAAGTCTACAAAATTTGGACAGTGATTGGATTTGGGGCTGAAAGGACAGATGGGAGTCTAGGATTACACCTAGTACCCTGGCATGAGGGGAGGGACTGATGGTTGTGTTATTAATTTTGATGGAGAAGTCAGGGGAGGGAGCACGGGTTGGAGGGAATACTAAGAGCTCAGTTTTGGAAAGATTGAGTTTGAGGAAGTGGAGTGACATCCATGCCGATATGTTGCTTAGTAGGTTAGTAGTGCGAGAGGAAACTGAAGGGGTGAGGTGAGGGGTAGAAAGATAGATT